ATAATATTGTTAAATATATGTATAGAAATAATTATGCTATTACTAGGTAAGACTTTATAGTTAAAAGGTAACAAAATTTTATGATAAGTAAAGATATAGTTAAATTAGTTGGTAAGAAGTTTGGTATAGAGTTTTTTAATATGTTTAAGTAAACTAATAGGTCTGGTCTAATATTAGTTAAGTTGTCATCAAAGATAGGTTTTTTAAAGATAAGAAAAATTTTTTTTTCTTTTTATTGGTTTGAAATTTGATCAAATATAAGACAGCAATTAAAGAGAACTGTGATTGTATTAAAAAATACTGTTCCAGTATATTGATTATTTCATAACTGATGCCTAATAGTTCACATTCTTTGTTATTAGAAAGTTGATTGATAGCTTTAAAACTTCTATAGAAAAGAATTTTTTAAGTGCTGGTTGATACCATGTAAGGTCAATGTTTAGTTTAGATTAGTATTTTTGTTATTACATTGTATTGAATAATTGTGATTAGATATTTCTAGAAGCTGTTCAATCATTAAAGTGTTGTTAGATGTGTTGTTTAATAAGTGATGATTCAATGATAATATTGTTTGATTCTTTAATGTTTTCAAACTTGACAGGATCTTTATATTAATTAAGTATACTGTTGATCATAAATGTTGGATTATTTTTAAGTTTAGTATATTTTTTGGCTATGTTATCATTAATTTGTTTTCTTATATTTTTAATATTTTCTTGATTGCATGCATGATAGAGTATTTCCACTTTGTGTTAATTGCAGTTATCTAGTTAAATAGAAAATTAAAATCTTGAAACAATACAGATATGTTGAAATAATAAAAAGAGTTAAGCTAATTAATATCTTGATTGTGAAATATAGACATAGAGATGTGATTGCGAATTGTAGCTTTAACTTGTCTTATTATATTGTCTAGTTTTTTGAGTTTTGAGTATAATTTGGATGCATTGATACAGACAATAAATTTTTTGTTTAGGATATATTGAAGAATAACTGAAATAATATTAGTTTAAATTTTGTAACAAGTAACTTCAAGTAATTCTGTAGTATTAGTTATAGAAAGAACATTGTTATTTTGGAGATTAGATATAACTTGGTTAGTAAAGTTTTGACAAAGTTCTTGGTTTATTTTGTTTATAAACAAATACTATATTTTAGTTTTGGTTACTAATCATCATTTTTCAATAATGGTATAAGAGAATTTCCAGGATGATATCAGTATATTATGATCACTAAGTATATATTAGTTAGTATCATTTATATAATAAAAGGTTAAGTATTAGATAATAGAATGATTAATTCAAATATAGTCAATATAACTGCTATATTTGCTACTATGCAATGTAAAAATTAAGAATGTATATATTTTGTTAGATTATATATATTATTGTGTTAGAGAAAATAAATAAGTTTAAATTTGATAGATAATGATTATAAGTTGTCAAAGATATTGAAGTTATCTATAATAATTAGTTGTATATTGTTTGTATTTGTTTCTTAAATTTATTATATAATATTATTTTAAATAAAAAATCTAAATTGAAGGTCATTACAAGATAAATAAACTAATATAATATGAAATTTAAAATTATATTTAAAGAAAAAATCTATTGCAATAGTATATTCAAGAAATTTAAATATTTTATAAATATGTAATTTGTGTTTTTGAATCATAATAGCTGTTTTAGCTTTACAATTATCAATATATGATCAATAATAGATAAAGTGTTGAGATTTAGAAAATTTAGTATGTATATTGTTCTATAAAATTTTAGTTTCTATAATACTAATAATATTGATGTCATGAGATAAACAGTAATTTTTCTATATTTGTTATTTTAGATTATCATTATATTTATATATATTATGTATATATATTGACAAATAAAATGGTTTGTATGAGTTAAGTATAGATATTTTAGTTATTAGTAATTGAAAAGTAGATTATATATAATTGTTAAGATAAAAATTAGAAGATATAGATTTAGAAATGGTCTCTGACTAAGAAGCTGTATGATTAAATACAGAAATAGATAATAAATTAGTAGATGAGAATGCTAAAGATAAATCAACAAAAAACAGTTAATCAACTGAGGATAGATAAATATAAGATGAAATATTATTTGGTATTATTAGTAAAGATAAGTACTTGTATAGTTCATATTAAAAAAATTGGATAAGATAATGTTTAGATAAAATAGGATCTAAAGAGTTAGTATATATGTGTAACTTAGGTTTGTTTTGATTAATAGATATATTAAGGCTATCACAGGTTGAATGAATGAATAAAAGATGAATAATAGGTAAATAACAGAAAAAAAACTGCTATTATTCTATCCTATATCTACCAAATAATGGCAGCATAATAGCAGCATAATAACAGAATAACAGTAAAATAACAGGAGTTTTGTCAATATAAGTAACATAATAGTAACATAATAGTAAAATAATAGAACAGTTCTATTATTTTACTTTTAGTCTTTGTAACTAAAAATAAAATAATAGAACTGTTCTATTATTTTGTTATTATGTTACTATTATGTTACTCATATTGACAAACCTCTTGTTATTTTACTATTATTCTGCTGTTATGCTGCTATTATGCTGACATTATTTAGCAGATATAGGGTAAAATAATGACAGTTTTTTTTTCTGTTATTTATCTATTATTCACCCTTTATTCATTCATTTGACCTGTGTATGCTTGAAGGAATGTTTTTGAATATAGAATAGAAATCCTCTAAATATTATATAATGATATATAGTAGATAGGTTGTTTAGTAATAGAAATTTGTTATAACATATATTTGTTTCTGCAAAAAGTGAAAGATTGGATTGTCTTCTACAGGGTCATTTACCATTTGAAGCTTGACTTGAATAGCTATGGAAAGTACCATAGTTTGCCCTGTACATTGGGTCTGACCATCATTAACTTGACTCTTCACTTAGATTCTTTCTATAAATAATCTTTACTGCCTATCTATTTACATCATCTTTATTGCTAACTATTAAAAACATATTTTTTAGCAAGGTGGTAACTCATCTATAAAGTAAAACAACTAGATTATTAATTAGTGTTTTGAATAATAGAATCTAAAACTTTTGTATACTTTTGTTTATTTAACCCAACATTTTATTAATAACCAATCAGCATAATACATTTTCATATAATTTAATATTAATTATTACATAACCGAGGCATTAGAGTTGCGCCTCAACTAATAAAATCAAACATAGTGATAACATATCGTTAATCAATTTTTTCGACGATGATTTATACATACTAAATGATTATAAAAAATTAAATTTATATTTTTTTAGTACAAGTACCTAAGAAAACAAAAAAGATATTAAGTTATTGTAAGAATTATTATATTTAATTAATTTTTTTTTTTATAAAATTATTTAAAAAATAGCTCTATTACCATGTAGAGCTAGCCAAGTCTTCAAATTAAAAAAAAATTAGATGCATTTTCGTTAGATGCTTGTGATTTTATGTTTTGATTTATTAGTTGAGGTGCAACCCTACTGAGGCATGCCTTTTGATGCACTCAACTCTATATACTGGGCATACCTAAAAATTTTCAAAATTAGATATTAAAAGTTTGAGTAAAAAAAACGCCTTTGACATGTTACATGATAAGGTTAGTGTAATATTTGGGAACGACTTTAGAAAACATAAGGTTGCTATCTTTTTAAGGTCTGAGGAGAAATCAGTCATGCTTTTTCCAAATCGAAGTAACAAAAGAACTTTGGCTTGTCATTTAAATTATTTTTTTTTGTTTTAATGTTACAGTTTCTAAGTTCCCAGTTGGCCGTTAGTTTTTGTTTGCTTGATAGGGATGTCTAAGTTTTCGTAACTGCTCTTTTGGAAAGTGTTAGCGTCTGTTTGAAAATGTGCAAACAGGAAACAAAACAAATTTCAATATAATATGTCACATAATATTCGACTAGTTATTGGACTATTATCTGCTGTTTACTAATTTTTTCTTCTTTAGTATATAATACATTGGTATCCATCTTTTTTTTCTTGGAATGTACGATTCTAAAATTATAATAATTGTTTAAGTTCTATGATACGTAATAAATATACGTACGTATATAATTAACAATAGATAAACATTTAACACGTGGATGCTTTTATAATGATTCTAAAATTTAGAATCGAGATTAAGAAATATAAATAACTCTTAGATTATTACTGTCTGCTGCTAAAAAATTTATTTTTAATAAAATCTTTTACTATAAAAACATCGTGTAACACAAGCACGAAAAAAATTTTTTTTTAGTACCGATTAGTGCCATTATTGATTAAAAAAAATTTTTTTTATCTGCAAAAACCAACAGAAGCTTTAATAAACCCGTCAATTTTTATTTACTGTAAGGCAAAAAAAAAAAGTGGGGTGCTGTGTTGAATTAGGATGTATTATAAAGCATTTATATGCAATTAACACAATGGACATAATATTCCATCACAATACTCTATTTCGCCACAAATATCCTACTTTACTTTATATGGTGAGAAAGGAATTTTAATAATTTTAATTCAATACGTACAGCAATATGTAGGATAATTCTTTTATCAGTAATTCATGTTTGCAATATTTATGTACAGCCAACCCGATTTTTAAACGTCTATAAAAGGTGTTTTTTTTTTTTTTTATTAAATTCTCTTTATAACTTATATATTTATACAGTAACATATTACATTAATTTGTACAATTTTACTAAAAGAAATTAAGATGTTACAATCAGATCAGGAAAAAAAAAGTAACAATGGTAACCGGAATTACGATAATAACGATAAGAAAAGAGAGAGAGAGAAAAAAAAAAAAAAAAAAAAAAAAAAAAAGCGATTGTACTATGTACAAAATGAATTCTAAATTTCTTTTCCCCCAAAAAAAAGGTCAACTAAAATACGTAATTGAAATTTACAAATATAATTAAAACGAAAAATAAATATTCTATGTATAATCGAATGTTTTAAGTAATTTTATTATTTAAACGTTTTCTTCTTTTGCTGGTTTTCCGGTATTCACACTTCCAGTTGCAGGAAATAATTCAGCCAAAATTTCATTTAATAAATCCGTGTATGCAGGATAACTTGAAGGATCAGCCAAAATATTTTTGAAGCCACTTGTCTGTCTAATGGTAACGAAATTAAGAACTACATATTTCATTGCTTGCTCTTTCAATTCAGGATACTTCCAAGCAGTACCAAAAAGGAATTCAGCAGCATCGTTAACATTTAAATCTTTAAATATCTCCGACTTAGCATGCTGACGTAAATCATCGATAAGATATTTATCAGCAATCCGGAAAAGATCCAATGGAGTAAGTTGTGAATTTTGTTCATCTTTTTTCTCAACAAAAGTCACCTTATTGGTATATAAGAAGCGTAACATTTCCAGAAATGTTTGGTGATGAAAGTCTGTAACATCAATTACATGATTACATCTTTGTGAAACAACGGCAGTATTATTAATAGAATCCTTTTGATCTTTGGTAGGCGATTGTAAAATTTCTTGTTTAGTAATATCAGATTCTAGCCATTGACCTCGAAATACAAGTTCAAAATATTTAGACCTCGCGCAAAGTATTGCAGAATTAGCATAAATTATTTGACCTTGAACATTAAACTGACAATCGGAGGTTGCAGGATTGTTTAATTGGCCTTCCCATGCTTTCACCAAGTCTTGGGGGATTGACTCGTTTAATTGTTGATTGCTTGGAAGTGGCCATTTTTGAGAAACTAGACCCATTTCAGCACGGTCGAACTCTACACCAAAGAGAACGTGCTCAGGTAAATTAGATTTATTATAGAAAGCTTCCCAACCTTTAGAACAATTAAAACGATTAAATGATGAGAAATAGAATTAATTAGATAACTTAATACATGATGTATAGTATAAAAGTACGTACCCCAACCAGACAATTTTGCAGAAAATGAATTCATTTTGACAGATTGTTTTTTAAGGAAAGTTTGATTTTTTGCATTTTTTAGATATATTTTTGCAGTTAGTACACTCCTCCTTGACCATACACCGGAACAATTTGCCTCATCGTGATTAGGAATTGCAAAAAGGAAGGCAGCACAATGGTCAGGTTCTTCAACGGAAGACTAAAAAAAAAAAGAATTCGTTCGAAACATGAGAAAAGTATAAAAAATTAGTAATTGAAAATATAAAAAAAGAGAATGGACAAAAAAAAAAAGGCAGACACATCCAATTGAAGCAGAAAAGAACGAGAATAACATTAATTTTTATAAAAGATAGTTAATTGAACATACAGGTATGAACTCGAGTTGCCAAAACATATCGTGAGAGGTTCCGAACGGAGGGCTATACACCGTTGTATTAATCTTAGAAACATTCGATAAAAGGAACTCGTAACAGCATTTTGTTTTCAAAACAGTCACCATGACGAATATTGGATAAAGTAATCGATGCAAGCTTTATTTTTTGAGAGTCTGTACCCGGTTTATTGAAAAAGAAGAAAGAAAGGAATTGAAATGTTAAAACAAATAATCCGATACAGTAACAATAATAATGCAACCCACATCTATAAAACCGTATATGTTACACTAATACGTAATCACGATCACGACTGCCTTAATTTTACTTTAATAATTGATAAATGATATCGATATATATCAATTAAAAATTAATTGTTGATGGAAATTGTACTTCTCTAAAATCGGAGGACCAGACCAGGCCACATAAAACAATAGCCTTAACGCTTCCCTAAGCTCAAATATTAAAATAACAGGGTGCATGCCATTATCTTTTATCTAATAATATAAAAAAAAAAAAAAAAAGAGAATGGAATAAAAATTTTAATCATCAACCAACCGTTTTTTTCTATTATTATTATTTCTTGACAAGACGGTAGAAGGAAAGTAAGATACCGATACGGGGGTTTTTCTCACCTTTTTATAATAGTTTCAAAAAAAAACTGTCAGTTCATGCAAGTTGATTGTCTTATGACCAGATACTACCTCGATTGCAGAATTCATATGATTCAGGCAAAGCAGTACTGCCAAACTGTCAAAAAAATAATAATAACAATAATAAGGCATTAAATTGATTAATTGATGTTAAAAGGACATAAAGACAAATCAAGAAATCATCAAATCATTTACTAAATTAGTCTTTCTAGTTGTCTCATCAGTCGACTAATAGTGTAAATGGTTATTTGTTTTGAAAATATGTTGATTTATAGTTTCTTTTTTTTTTTTTTCCTTAAAGATCATGGATTATCTTTGACAATCAAATAAATTGTACTAAGATATAAATATATAAATAAATAAATATATATATTCAGTGGTTAAAATATAAGAGATTTCCGTTGAGCCTAAAGAGGTAAGCGACAAATGACCCTGTGTCGATAGAGTCCCTTAATAAGGGGATTCGGAGCTCACCGATGTAGATAATCTTTCTCACATCATGACGAAATTCAAGAAGTAACAGAAGATTTACAGAAATAAGTTTTGTTTTGTTTCAAAGATGAAATTCTTTGGATTACTGCAAAATGTTTAGCGAAAATGAATTGAGTATAATCATCTTATGCCTTTGCATATTACAATAGCATACTTGCTGCAAAAGATTATCGATATACAGTATATCGGTAGTAAGTTCGATAATCCACTTAGCCATATATACGAAGTGAATGTTTCATTCTTAAATAATGAACACACGAGCATATAGAATGTTACTCACAATTGTTCGGAATTTCAAATCATTTACTGTACGTACGTATCTGTCAGAAAAAAAAAAAATACAATTGACCAAATAATTGGCATTATTTTAGTTGTTAGATACGTATATAGTGGCTTCAAGTTTATGATCATTAAAGTTAGATTCTGATTTTGGAGAGTCAACTGTTAATAGTACGTACGTACCAATACTCGTTCGGTTTCAATAAACGATTGAATTCACAAAACGTCAATGAAACTTTAATAAAATTATATGATTTTTGTTATCGTCCTCGTCTTGTTGATAACACAAAAAAACTTGATTGAGAACTTTGCTATGACATAAATTTATATCTATAAAAATATTGAAACATCAATCATACTACCTTTTAACATTATTATTTGATAAATAATTTTAAGCTTGGTCTCAATAATCGGATTACCAAGTTGATTAATAATGTTACTTTGGTATTCCGATTAGTAAAAACAGGATCTCAGGCCCGGGCGTTGCCCCGGGTTTAAATCTTAGTTAATTTAGGTCCACGAACCAAGCGTCGTCCAAAAAATCAGTTACGGTTTAAACTCAATCAAATTTATAGTTCCGATGGCTCAATACTGTATGTACAATTGATTATAAATTTTTTTTTAAATTACAATAGGCGATAAAACTTCCATTTTTTTTTTTACTTTATATTGTAAACCGAGCAGAAATCAGAAACTTTTTGGTGAAAAAAAAACTCGTTCTGAATGCTTAACATGTATTAAAGAAAGTAAAAAGCGAATATATGAAAAAAAGGGGTACTTAAAAAAAGTGTTATTGATGTTTGTATATTTCTTAAAAGTCGGTTTCTCTTCGCAAACATTTAGTTTCACCACTAGGAACATGGATAACTCTTGTTTCAATATGTTAATAAGATTCAACGAAATAATAAACGTCCATTTCTTCATGAACTCCAACAAACTATATATCCGCCGCATTATCTAATCCCAAAGTGATTATAAGGAAGCCGAGATAGATTTAAGTATGGACGAATATGATACAAGTGCTAGTGATGTTGAGGTTACAAATAATAAAGCCATTGAATTAAAAGAAATACCAGTGAAGGTACTATTTATTTATTTTATTATTATACAAACTATTTATACAGTCAACTTTGGATATAATGAATCTCTATGTACGACCTCTGGATAACTAAGAATTTTAAAATTTCATAATAGTTCGATATAAAAGTGCTATGAGTCCTTAAAAAACATTGTAATATTCTATAACGAACTTTTTATTTCTTTCAGAACTGTCAGTCAGTTCGTCTTGACTATATTTTTACATATTAATAAATAATTTATAAACGATAAAGTTTATTGAAAATTTGGAAACCTTTTCTCAACAAAGAAAATAGTTAAACGCGATTTGCTATTAAAGAGAATGATATACACATGGATGTCTAAAATATTTTTGAAAAAAAAGTAATTTTGCAAAAAAATTTCGCCGTTGCCATATTTTTTTTACATGACCTTTCATAGATAATTATATTATTTAAGAATTCGAATAGTATCAACAATAATTTCGCCACTTATAAAAATTAATTTCGCTAACTATAGAAAACTGAAATAATTATTTATTAAGAAAATTAACTAGACACTTATATATAGGAGAATATTTTTATTGGCGATAGTTTTAACGCTCTTTTCGAAAATTTTTATTTTTATTATATAGTAAATCAATGGATGTATTAATAAAAAAATGAATATACGTATATATATATAGCGAAAACAAATTAAAATGCAATTTGTACGTACGTATGCGTATTGCTTCATTGAATATATCAAAGATATATATATTTATCGATAAGTCATTAATGCTACATATTTGAGTTATTAAGTACTGATGTTTAATTTTAAATTCCGGTACGTAACTGATTTTTTGGATAAAAAAAATTTGATATACCGTTAACTTTCATATTCGGTATTAGTATACCATGACGCACAGCGTAATATGCTTTTTTTGATTAACGTTAATGTTTACAACAATTTGTACTTTCTTAATTGTATAAAAATTTTCTTTAGAGCAATTCGATTTCCTTATTAAAATTATTATTATTATTTGTTTTTTTTTAATCTCGCTAATGTCGTCCTCTGATTCAAATAGACCATATGACACGTCATATAATCGGCTAAAATTTGTGTTGGCAAGTTCTTACCTTTATTAAAAGAATTGCTTTATATAATCATTTATATCTTGAAAAATAAATTTACTTTTATTGACTGAAGGCTTTGGTGATATTGCGAAATAAACCTGTAGATTGGACTATTAACGGTAAATTGGATATCAACATTAAATTTTCTTGCAATAAGCTTTTTAAAAAGTTGTTATACTTTTTATACATAGAATATATTCGATTCGTAACTAGCACATCTCAAAAAGACCAAAAAGAGAAAATTCAAGTTAATGATAATGTAGATGGTAACAAGACCATTTTTGAAACCAAAGAGAGCCATATTATTGTTGAGGAACAAAATCAATTAGGCAATGAGGTGAATAATAATGGTAAAGACTCAGATGATAACGATTGTCAGCGTTGGAAGGAAAGAGCCTTGGAATTAACCGACGAAGTCGAAGCGTTAAAGCAACGCTTATGTGTTGTTTCAGATGATAATGATTGTCAACGTTGGAAGGAAAGAGCCTTGGAATTAACCGACGAAGTCGAAGCGTTAAAGCAACGCTTATGCGTTGTTTCAGATGATAACGATTGTCAGCGTTGGAAGGAAAGAGCCTTGGAATTAACCAACGAAGTCGAAGCGTTAAAGCAACGCTTATGTGTTGTTGAGTTAGGTAAGATTATTCGGTTTAACCTGTACAAATAATTCATCAAAATTAATTTGTCTTTTATTATTTCAGAGTTAGAAGCTGCAAAGCAAAGCGCGTCCAACAAAAGAAGAAAAACAAAGGCGCAACAAGCAACTGCAATCACTGAAGGTGATCAAGGACCAGTATCATTAACATCAACAAATAAAAAACAATCGGGGAAAAGTGCAACGGCAAAAAGAGGGTCGAAAAGATTTCAAGATTCTGAATCTAAGATATTTCAAAGAGTTCCAGGAGCGGATGATGGTAAATTTCCTTTAAATTTTTATTCCTTTTGATTTTAGAATAATTAAATAATTTTTTAATTTTTCATCAACAGACGTATGGAGATTATTCGATATCAGTCAAGCGATGTCTTTTTTACAACAAATTAAACTTCTAGCACACATAACACCACCTGTTATATCAGTCACTGATTCATCTACATTTTCTCCATATTCTGCAAACTCTGGAGCGGTGATAACACAGGCGATTATAAAAACCATTAATTATATGAATCTAAAGTTATCAAGTTTATTAAAAGTGTTTGAAAATAATTCAGTAAACAATATAAGCATGCTACAGGCATATCCATTATGTATAAATAGTTTTGAATCTGTTGTGAAAAAGTTGATAGGTTTATTTTTATTTTATTTATTTTTTTTCTTTATAATTATTATATAATCACGAATTTATTAATTTACATATTTTATTTTCTTTTATTTTTTCTACAAATTAGCTTTTTTCGATTCTTCACTAATTTCTGAATCAGAAAAAAACGAAATTATTATAACACTTGCAAACTCTTTCGCATCTTTGATCAGGGCAATTCATATAATTAGCATGAGGATTTTAAATGATACGTTACAAGATAATGATTCCACAAATAATCATTCTAATGTTGCAAATGTCAAAAATCAAGATCCACGAGATGCAATAGCTAAATTGTTGATTCACATTTGTCATCATGTTGGTCCACAATTAAGGGATGCAGTTTCGTTGGCTGCAGTAAAGGAATGTCTGCGGCTGGTGTCTGAAGAATTCGGTATTATTGATGAAAATCCATCAAAATCATTACAAGAAAATAATTATTCTGTAATAACTATACCGATTTTGTCTACCGATCAAGCTACTGCATCATTAATGCAGGATTCCACATTGTTGACAAAGAAAGATTCTGAAATTAGAGATGTTGTGCGTAAGGATAGTGCTTATTTTTTATTATGGGTTCTTGAAGAAATCTTGGGTAAAGAAAATTGTATTTTGGATATAACGAGAAAAGAAATGCTAACAGGTATGAAATTTATTAATATTCCTATTTTGTGTTTATTTATGTAATGTGGTTTTCTTTGTTTTGTTTTTTTGATCTTATTTCTTTATAGATGAAACTCGCAAAAATATTTCTACTCTTTTGGAAGGGTCTCTTGCATGTAACAAACGTGCATCTTTGCATGGTGATGCGTACACAATGTATCTTTGGACCGTCTGTGAAAAACTTTGGACTCTGACTGGAACATTTCCATGAAATAATATATAATAAACTTAAATCTTAATTTCTAATTAGGAACTTTCAAAATGCTCATATTTGTAAATATTTCTACGTATTAAAAATCATTTAATACGTATTACTTATTTTTACGTATTATGACAGAAAATGCAATGATTGCCAAATTACTTATCGTTATAAATATTAAAACCTATCATGTCTAACAAAAAGATTTCACAATTTTTATATTTTATCCGACTATTACCAGTTAAAAGCTTATATTTTTACTAACTATAGCTTACCATTATCTTTCTCACAGTTTCATCTTTCAAGGCTTCGTCTTGAGCCAAGGGTTTCACCTCGTCTATGTACATATAACGATATAATGATAATGTATAAATATGTACAGTACGTATATAGTTAATAAATAAAGTGACCGGGCCAGATCGGGCATAGGGCCCTAAAATGTTCAACATCGATTCATTCGTAAAGAAAGTTAGAAACAAGAAAATAATTGATTCTAAGTGAAAATCTACACTTTATTTATATTTAAATAGTGTTGTTAGCAAATATTTCGACTTTCGACATTTAGCATGCCGTAATGTCAAAATTTTAATGTCATGTCGAAATTCTAAACTATGATGCGCCAAGTCACTTCTCATCAAAAATCATGTATTTTTAAAGAGAATTTCTATAAGTACACTAATGTATGAAACACAGGTATCTATATAACTTAAAATTTTACTAATAAAACACCCTTCGGGCTCTAATAAAAAAATCTCTGAAATTTTAGTATAAATTATATCCTAACCCAAACCTTAAACACTAACCTTAATATCTAGCTTTAAGCAAATTAATTTTTGGTTTCTTTTATTTTGTTATGCGAATTTACAAATTATACTAGTGTACACTTCTCTGACAAAGATCACTGGAATTTTCAAAATTAACAGTTATGACTCACATCATACAATAATTTTTTTTGGAACAAATCTCTTATTATAAATATACAATTTTTTTTTACAGTTACATTAGAAGTTAGTCTATTTGATATATTTTGTGAGGAGGATTTTTTTTTATCATGAAACAACTTACTGAGAAACAATGTGTTCAAATTGTTGGTGTTTGAAGAAGTGGTGTATAGTTAGTAAAAATTATATAAATCTTAAACTTACTAAAAAGTATTGTCTATAATATTATTTTTTTTATAAAAAAAAGTAGAGTTGAAATCTCTGAGATGGTCTTTAAAATAACTGAATGTGATTCTTATCATTTTATAAATTTTTTAAAAGATGATAAAAAGGTAATTTAAATATTTTGATAAATAAATTTATAAATTAACATTTATTAAAATGTTTATGTATTGTTAAGAGCAAAACAGATACCAGAGTTGCTCTAACCTAGTGTTACTTCAACCCATGTTCCCTTATAGTAAGAATATTCCTAAAACAAGTCAACTATTGTGTATCAATTGCATCTTGAGAAACTTGAAAGTCAAGCTGCCTAACTGAAACAATGCTATAATGACACAGAATAGGGGTTCTACAGCTTGGCCTGGCCTAACCTAGCCTGCAAATTTTTGTAAGCTGGGCTAGGCCTAAAGCAAAATTTTATAATTGTGGATCAGGTCAAACCAAAAAATTTGCAAAACATTATAATTGCAAGTCAGTATAGGCTTAAAATTTTGTAAAATTATATAAGAAATTTTTGTAGATTAGACTGGGCTGAAGAAAAAATTTAATATATACAGGCTGGATCAGATTGGCAAAAAAATAGTAACTCTAAATGTAAACTAGGCCAAGTCAGAAAAAAAATTTTAATTCTAAATATGGGTTGGGCTAGGTTGGGCCTTAAAAATAGGTAATTCATAGGTCTCTAACATAGAATCAGATATTATAGTAATTTGTTGGAGTAGATTTGCTAGATGAGACTAGTTATTTGTGTTGCATAAGGCTATTCAAGATCCTAATCATAATAACAGATCTAAAACCATTGAGTTTGGTAGGAAAATATTTGATCTTGGGTCTCTGTGCCATCTCTTTTTGTAAAATACTATTCTTGTATATAAGTGTATCTTTTTTTTAAGAATTAAAAAAAGAAAATAAATAGAATAATCATTATTAGTAATAGTTATATTAGTAATAAAACTATCTTAGTAATAAACTGAGACCTTGCACTTATGCCTTAGTCTTGTCAAATCATTCTGTCTCTTCCATAATGCAACATTTTGTGAAGTTTAGTATTTTTAAGCAACAATCTGTCACATTTTCTTTGATTCTGTATTTTGTAAACCCAATATCTCTTTAACAGTATATTATATAATATTATTTTTATAAAAAAAAATTTTTGATTTAGATTGAAAAGAAAAAACTATTTATAAATAAAATTATTTGTTTAGATTATTTAAAATAGACTAAAAACAAGAATATTAAAATAAAAAATAAAGAAATATTGTTTAGAATAATAATTATTAAAAAAATAGTTATATGTATATTTAAAAAAAACTAAAGAAAAAGTATATTGTTTAGTTTTTATATTTAGATTAAAAAGATAATATAATTATTTGAAAATATTTTAATTATTATAATCTTAAACTTTTGATTCAAGTTTTGATAAAATAAATTAAAAAATTATATTAAAGATTTAAAAAATATTAAAAAAAAACTACTTATTATAAGATAATAAATTTTTTTTTTTTTAATTTAAGCAGTCATGTTAGTACTTCATTAAAATTCTTGAAATTACTTTTGCAATTATACAGATTTACCTAACAACTAAATCTAGCATTATCTAGCTACCCAAAGAGTACCTAAGTGCAACTTGCCACACTACTTTGAACAAAAGTAGGCTACTTGTCTAACTACTTAAAGTCTATAATAAAAGGGTCTTTTTTCTTTTATGATAAGTTCTAATATTGTTTTCCTAGTTTTTTCATTAATTCTATTCTTTTTCTTTTTTGCTTGTTTCTTTTCTTCTTCAATCTTTTGCTGATTTGTCTTTTCTTTCTTCTTTTCTTTCTTCTTCTTTACTTCCTTTTTCTTTATATTGGTTGTTTTGCCTTCTTTATTCTCTCATTTATTAACTTTTTTGCTCCATATTTCCAAACTTGTTTATAGAATATGTTTTATGCTGTTTTTGCTACTATCTCTATAAACTGCTATCTTGTTTTTGTATTTATAAGTTGTATTAGTCTGTTTTGTGTCTTTTTTAGGATTAAGTTTTAATTAAAGCTTCTCTTATCTCTATTTCTTTTGTTTCACTTTTTCTAAAAAGTACTGTATATAATATATTTGATGGAATATAAGTTTTTTTTTCTTCTTTTAACTCTTTCCAGACTATTGCAATAGTTATCTTTTGGATTTGTTTTTAGAAGCTTTATGTAATTGTGTTTCTTTAACTTTATCTTAACAAACTTGGCATTCTGTTATTGTGCATATATCTGGTTTTTTTCTATTAAGTTCTTCTAAGATTAGAAGTTTATCTATCATATATTTTATAAACATTGTTAACATTAAGAATTTTATATATTTTTAATCATAATTTTTAATGTACTGGACCAAATTAAATGAAACAACCATCATTGGATTCAGCTCACTGAGATGATTCTAGCAAGTATAAGATCATATGATTCTGATCATGGGATCATGAGATTGGGATAATTTTGATGAAAGCACTAATTCTAATACATGTAACTTGATTCTGATTGGCTCACATTACTGTGCTGAAAATCTAATAAATCTAACATTTCTAGCAGATCTATTAGATCTAATATATCTAACATATCTAACAAATATTATATATCTATTTTATCTATCATTTCTATTATATCTTTTATATCTATTATATATATTAGATCCATTATATCTATTAGTTCTTATTACTATAAATAGCATTTATTAGCAATAGAGTAGTCTTTATTGTAATTATTTATATATATAAATATTTATAAAACCACTATTTTCTAACTCTTCAAGAAAATTAAGTGTCTTCATACATTTCATAGTTAATAAACTGAATGCAATATTTAGTATTTTCATATATTATCTATTGTTGTCTCTGTCTTAAAATCCCAAATCACTCTGTATTTTGTTAAAGTCTTGTGTAGACTTTTATATAAAATCTGTCAAGTTATAGTTATCATACTATAGTTAAGTAGCTTCTGTTATTACTATGATTAAAGAAAAAACTACAGGTTAACAACATACATCTTCTTATACTACTTTTTCTTGTTATGTAATGTACTTCTTTAGTCATCTTTAGGTTATTCCAAAATTGTATTCAATCATAAATTATGATTTCTGTTTTTGGTTCTAACTTTCTAATTATATTTGTTTCTTTCTATTTTGTTTCTAATTTTGTATTTGTACCAATTTGCATAATAATCTTGCTAATATAATAGTTTGTCTGTTTTCTCACTCTAGGTAGTACTTTATCTCTTTACAACTGACTTTTTCTATTTGAATTATTTTCTTACTTATTGTTTTCTTTTTTGTAAGACTATTAGCTTTGTCATTCTACTTGTTCTTGATATGACTTTTAACTTTTATTAATTCTATCTGTATCTTTTTTGTATTAATAAGATCTATAATTTTTATTATCTATATCATATTTTTCCTTTTAAAGATTTTTATTTTATCTATTTGCTCTATATTTTTACTAATATTTTTTATTATAGCATTACTGGCAGTATATATTTCTACTTGTCTTTCTTTTGGTATTGTTAAGATTGCTGTTTATATTGCTACTAATTTTGCTATTATTGATGTCATTCACTCTTCTAGTCCTAATGATGTTTCTTCTTCTAGCCACTCTTGCATTTCATTTGTTTGGATCCATCCTATACCTATATTTTTGCTTTAGATTTTTTTTTTGATCTTTATGTTTGCAGTACCATCTGTATATATAATATATTTGTTTTTGTTTCTCAATAGATTTCTTCTTAGTATCTTCAAGATTTCTTGGTTAATGTTCTCATTTAGTTTTTGTTACTTGATTATTTTTATTTCTAACTCTTCTATCATTATTAGTCCTTCAAGTTTCTG